ATATATATATATATATATATATATGTATGTATATATATATAGCCATACCTTAGAAAAGAAGCTGAATATAACAGAGTTGATTTTCTTTAAATCTTGCACCATCCTTCTTCCCTGATGTGTTTATCCTTTTAGATAGTTAGCAGATAACATTTTGTCTCAGAACTGAAACACATGCAGATATATGCAGGAAAGAATCTGGATCAGCAGAGCAGGGTCTGTCTGAGGGAAGTGTGTGGTTACAAACTAGTTTGTACAGATTTTCTGCGCAGAGTTGCAAAAGCAGCTTGTGAGAGCTTTTGGTGAATTATTGTCCATTAGCTCCACCACAATCATTGACTTGCTACATCCTCTTATCTTGTGCCCCCGGGCCAGCTGGTTCTAATGGGAAATACTGCAAGAATTCAGTTGCCCTGAGGATGTGAAAACTTGAAACACTGAAAATTGTGTGAACTGGTAATGCAGAAGAGGGCTCCTGAATGTGTTTTGGAATTACCTTTGCCAACCTGCAGGATGAACAGGTCAAGCTGACCTGAGTGCAGGTGCCACCAGAAGGGGTGGTCCAGGGGCTTTGCCTTTCTGTGGGAAACCAGACTCCTTTCCACATCAGCTCATACTTCCGACAGCTGAAGCTGCTTACTAAATCCCATCCCAGGGTATGGCAGGTTCAAACTTTCACATATATAAACTGAGTATGGAAATCTTCTGACCAAAAGTTAGAAAACTGTATCTTCTACTCTGATCCATTGAGCTCTGGCTGACAGAGACAGTTTTCCATCAGTCTTGGGCTCTGGATGGTTCTTCTTTCACCTCTTTGTTATTTCCCTCACCTTTTTGGCCAGAAAAATCCTTCTTCTATCACTGTCTTCATTCAACATCCATTTTGCTAGAGTTGGTGAGAAGGATAGCCTACTTATTTGCACAGTATCTTGCTGAATTTTAACTAAACTGCGTTATTTAATATTTAATCTTTCCTGGTATCTCTGGGGCTTCAGTAGAATTCTTGGCATCTCTGTTCATGCTTGGGAAAGAGAAGCACATCTATAGGAAGGTCTGATGTAATGTAATTATGTATAATTTTCTTAGCTTCGAATGACATCACTGAAGACTCATTTCATTCAGTTGAAGTTGTCCTTCACTTAAATTGAAAAATGTTTCAGTGCAAATGAAACATGTTTCAGTCTGGTTTGGTGTTTAGTATAGGCGGAGGAATAATTTCTTTGTAATAAAGTTAATGTCTGATAGAATTGAGGAGTATGGTCAGACTCTGGCATAAGACTGTAATATGTAATATGTCCTGTTATGTCTAGTAATAATTTGTCATTTCTCAAAAATTCAATTTTTACTTTTTACCACAAACAAGCTTGAGAAAGCATTCAGTCCAGGGAAGTTTGCAGTCTCAGAAAATTGGTGAGTGTTCCAATTGTTGTGTTCAGCACAAAAGTACTTGGACCTCAAGTACTTTCACTTTTGCCTGGGATGGTAGTATCCCATTCTTCCTTGGAGTCTTTAACTGCTGAATAAAACTACAAATGAAACTATGAATAAAACTATAAAGATACTGTGCCATTCTCCAAGGAAGCAGCAAGAAACAGAAGATCCATAGACTAAGCTCAGTATGGAGAGGGAGCTTTTGGATACATGGTTTAGATTCCTTTAGGATTACTCTTGGAGATGAATGCTGCAGGCAAGGCAGAGGTTATGCTTGGGAGAGATGGGAGAGTTTTTAATTTTCCTCATCACTATGACTGATGATGTTATTTCTTAGTTCCAACTGGATTAAAAAAATGCAGTTGCACTGAGAAAGAACCAGCTGAGAGAGGAAGCAGATACGAGCAGCATCTTCCCTCTCTGCTCATGGGGCTTCAGCAAGGAGTGATGACTGCTGACTTTTCTCATGCTTTGATTCCAGTCTGGTTTTTTTCTATAGCTTTTCTAATGTGACAGGGCAGTGATCAGCAGTGAGACACTTGATGTGCCATCTGCTCTTGGAACATGCAAGATGGGCTAAGCTTTGCAATGGGGTGAGTTGGTTGAAGCAAAAAGCAGAGGTGTGTGTTGGGAGAGGTGCATCTCCCAACAATACACTATGTAAATCTCCTCAAAAATGGATTTAAGATTTTGCGGGATAAACTGATAACTCTTCAGGGTCAAAGAGGACTTTTTGCTCAAAGGAAGAGCACACTGAAGGCACAAATCTTTAGAGGGTTTGAGTGATCTCTTGGAAAACACCACTAACCTTTTATAAATGAGGGAGTGCATCTTTGAAGAGAAAAGGGAAGAGCTGTTTGGTTTAGATTTGTGGGTTCCTAGATTTAGAGGAGTATTTTGCTCTTGAAGTTCCATCTCTGTCATGTAGATGGGATGGCACATTAATGCATGAGTGTTTACAATCCTATTTCTGGGGTGAGATGTATTGTTTTCTATGAAATAGCTTACTTTTAGTATGAGTGGCTTGTGGTGAAAAGGATATGTTGTAGAAAATATATGTAACTTTTGAAGTAGCTCTGTTGGATTCTAAAATTTAACAAAACAAAAACATCCACTACATCTGAAAGTTATTGCAGATTACTGAGACTGCACTAGGGGAGTATAAATAAGCAGACAACAAAATAGCAAAGGCAGCAAATCACAGAGTACATTGACCACAGCACTTAATTTGATTAGTCCACTCACTATTTAAAATTTGTGTTGAGGTATTGCATAATAGTATCAAGATCATAGCAAACAAGTAATCTTTTTTGCATGATATAGAAGGTGTAAGGAATAGTGGATATATATTAATAGGATCATAGTTACTTCTGTTTCTATTTTTTTTAATAAAGTGGTGTTTTGACAGTTTACATCTTACTAATTTCTGTGAAAATATTTATTAGTGCAATTTATTTATGAGTCCTGAGTGTAGCAATTAATAGTAAAACCAAATTCTATGGAGTATAGTGTTTGGATTTTTTTGTCTGGTTTGTGGTTTTGGTAAGAATTATGTAATTTTTCACTAGATTTTGTATCGCTTACTGCATTTCAGAAACATGAGTGATACTCAAAGAGAGGAAGTTTAAGCTCAAGGAATGCTGCTTGTTTTCTTGCTTAGTATTACTGTTTCTGTCCATATTGATTGCTGTATGATTTAGACTTCTCTGACGGGGAAATATTTAAGCCTCAAAAATTAACTATACAAAGAAGTAACAATAGGAGTAAAAGAAAGAGATTGAATCATCTCGCCCTAAGAGGAGAAGCAAATTCCAGAGTCACTGTCCCATTTGAAATGTAAGCTTGAATGAATGTTTGTGGACTGCCCTCTTGAAGGTTGCAGTGAATCCTGAGAGTGTGGCAGGAGAACAAACTGAAGGGTCACGCTTTTGAAGTGAACAGGGTTCACTGATACAGTAAATGGAGTTTGTTCAGATCTGGTTGGAACAGTATATTTAACCAGTCTCTCAAAATACAAATAAATTAATTTACCTGCTATACTACTGCAGGACCCCAACTCACAGAGCTGTAAATTGACATCAGTTCTTCACCCTGCAGTGGTAAATATACATTGAGCCACTGAATTCTGTCAGTGGAATACTCTCCTTGCAATGGCCTGGGTAATGAAGCAGGAATGTTCTGTAGGAAGGCTACCCCCTGCTATTATTCTCCCTCTTGAGGCGATGATTTTTGAGGGGTTGAGAATGTATCAAAAAGGCCACATTTTCAACTTGGAAACAGACAGTGTTGCACAAAGATACATGATAACAACCCCCATAAAACATCTTGTTCTCTTTGGGTTTATCCATTCATTCAGTTCCTTGAGTAGTGCCCATTGCCCATGGCTGGGAGGAGCTGTGAGTTTGCAGTGAGAGACTGGTCTGGCAGAGTAAAGCACTGAATTGATAAAATAGGACTGAAAAGCTCATGAGTATCATATTTTCTCCTCCCTTACTGTTTCCAAGATATCTGCTGCTGGGGGTTTATTAACAGATATATTTTTATCAGGTAAGGAGGAGAAAAAGAGGCTTCTGGAAGAACTGTCTGTGATGTATAAACACAGCTTTGGATGTCAAATGTAAAAATGAGATTTATCATCTACACCTGAGGGATACTTAGTATTGGTATCTTAGTTTGAAGTTTTAATTTCTCTTGTATATTTGCCAGGCATATAATAGGATATATTGTTTTGAGTTTTAGTATTTTTTTTTCTTTTTTTATTTTTTCTCATTTGGAAAACTCCAAATTCAGCAAATTCCAGTGTGGTCTATACAATGCTGTGTCTGAATTTTTTTCTTTTATCTTTTCTTGCTTCCTATCTAAACATGACTGTTGACATTAAGTGCTTCTACATCCTTCTGTGGTATTGCACCCTGCTGAGTAAGGACAATTTTAGTACTGAAGTGACACAGCCTATTAGATTTTTATCTGCTTTTTATGTAACTGATTTTAAAGGTTCATATTATTTTTAGTTCTGCTGGCTTTGTTTTTGCTTGCTTAAATCATGTTGGTCTACCTATCCCTTAGGAGAAGTTTGAAAGCTGACTTTGTCCAGTTACTTACTTTGCTCCCAACCCATCTGTGCTGTTGACACCTCTGTTGCAGCATGATCCATGGGTTCAGTGATTTAGTGTATGTCTGTCTGAATTGTACTCAAGAAGTCCAGACTTGCACTGTGCATAAACCATATTCTTTTTCTGTGGCTGTTCCTTCACTCTGTGCTCCTGTGCCAGCATTCAGAGCACAGAAGAGCCATGAGCCTCCCCCAGCTCCCTCTTGTGCCTCTCAGAAGTTTGTCTTCTTGCTCTTTATGAACCACATCATCATTTGGTTGATTTTTGATATTTTTCTATAGTTTAATTCCTTGTTTTGCTGCTATTTGGATTTTTTGTTTGTTTGTTTTTAAGAATAGAAAAAGCTAAGAATAGAAAAGGTTAAGAACAGAAAAGGTTAAGAGTTTGATGGGGAGAGTGGACAGGTCATGAGACAACAGAGTTCTTGACATCAAAACTAGAAGAACAAGATGTGTAGCTATCTGCTAGAGAGAACTTACTTCCAGATCATCAGCTGATACTTCAGATGCTGAAACCACAGCCCTCTCTCCACTCTTGTCTATCAGGACAAGATAGACAATTCAAATACCCAGTCTTCAAATAGGAAGCGAGACCTGAGGGAAGCTTATCTGTTATTGGTCTCTGGATGCTCAAGCCCTCTGCTATCCAAAGCATTTTTTACCCTGAAACACATGGGATTTATCCATGCCTTGAGCAGAAGCTGCACTGCAGACATCCTGTCAGAGTGATGCTGCAGTGGCTGTTTGCAGCTTTTTAGCTGTTTTTTATGCTTAGCTTCCCACTTAATCTTGAGTTGATGCTGTTATTGAATGGAGGATCAATGTATGTGTCTGAGGATGGCTGTTTTGGAATGATCCATCTTGTGCTCAGGTGTTGTTTACCTCTGAGAATCCAGCCAGTTCTGTATCCCAAAAAATAAATGCTAAGCCTGTTCCCAGTAACTAGAGACTTGCCTGAGTGTGCAGCATTCAGTTTCTTTAGTGCAGTAATTCATCCACATCAACTCTGGACTAATTCACTGAATCTATTATTTATCACAGCTGCTTTTTGGAGTGTGGATATACTCAGAATAGGAAAAAACCCCATGATGATAATATAAGGTAGCATGCCACTGAAGTGTAAAATGTGCTGAATCTCATATTTATCTACATGATGCTTTGCATCCACCTAAGTCAGTGTGTGTCAGCTTTCTGCCAACTTTTACATAAAATATTTTTATACTGTCTCAAAGACAAAGCAGTGAGCAGGTGGAACTGCCTAGCCAAGTCCACAAAGAGACATCCCAATCCTTCCTCAGAATGCAGTAAAGCAGCAGTTAGACACCCCTTTCATCCTCTGAATCTGAGTTGTGACCTGGTGGTTCTCACATGCCCAGTGGTTTGGAAAAGTCACCAAATGTTTATTTCATAGTGCTCTCTGCTTTCAGAACAGGGAAAAGGAATTTTTTTCCTTGCTCACTTCTTTTCCCTCAAAACTTTTGTTCATTGTCTTCATCTGAATTTTGTTTCTTCAGAGACACCAGAGGAGGTGTGGTGAGTTGACCCCAGCCAGCAGCCATCCTCCACCCAGCCACTTGCTCCCTATAAGGGTGAGAGCAGGGCAAGCAAAACCAAGAAAATTCATTAACAAAGACAATTTAATAAATAAATGAAAGAGAAATAAAAAGAGGCAACACAAAGGCAACCACCGTTCAGTAGATAATTCATTCACTACCTACAGTGGATCGATGTCCAGCCAGTCTCCAAGGACTGGAAACCTCCTAGACCAACACCCCCAAAGCCCACCCATTTTTATTGCTGAGCAGGAGGCCATATGGCACAGAATATATCTTTACTCATCTTGGGTCAGCTGCTGTGTCCCCTCCAGCTTCTTGCCCACCCTGGCCTACTTAGGGGATAGAAAAGGGGAAAAAAAAGAAAAAAAAAGAAAGCTGTGTAGGTATGCTGGGCAATAGCCAAAACACAAGTGTGTTACTAGTGCAGTTTTAGTCACAAATCCAAAATACAGCACCATGTGGGCTTGCTGTGAAGAAAATTAACTCCATCTCAGCCAGACCTAATACAGGGCATGGCCAGAAAAACCAACTGTAGTGGTCATGGGTAAGTCCAAACATTTGTGTACAGAATAAGAAATCTGTGAAACCAGCGAAGTTCTTGTTTGCTTGAACCAACGACACATAAAATTCATGCTGAGTGGCAGCGTGTGAAGAACTTTCCTGTTCCCTACTAGTATTATTTAATTTGTCAGGCTGATGGTGCTTACAGAGAGCAAACTTTCAGATGCACATTTCTGGGCTGCTTCTTTACGGTTGATATTCCTCTCACTAAACTTTTGAAGTTTGGGCGGAGCTTACGTGTCAGAGCCCTAAGTTTGGGTTCTAATCACGTGAGTTTGGTTTTGGGGGGTGGTCCCACTGGAGATCTGTCGCTGCTGTCCAGGGAGTTCAAATCATGGTTAAGCTCATCAAATGTAGGGTCTGCTCTTGGAGTCAGGAGCAGCTCTCAAGGCTTTGCTCATTTTAGGAGACTTGATCTCCTCTGGCCGTGGTGCACTGACCTGCACTACCCTCACTGCAGTACAGTCAACGCACTACAGGCTCCGTTGGCTGTCCCACTGTAGTGCAACAGGCTGGTTTCTAACATCAGATGCCTGAATCTAAATCTAGACACAAGACCAAAGCTTGGGGGCTGAAATCAGTAGCCTGCATCTGGAGCCCTTAGAGATACCCCAGGGTATTTAGTTTTGACTTGCCTCCAGCTGTCAGACCAGAGGGACTTGTCAATTCCATAGGTTCAGCCGTACTATGCATGTGTCTTACATACCCACAAGTGTCTGAAAAGGCACTTAGTCTGGGCAGCTGAACTGGTGGAGGCTCAGATACCCTCAAGTAAGATAATGCAGGTTCTCTTTATAGTAAGCATAAAATAGTAAGTCCTGTTATTTGAAATTAATTTGTATTTCTGTGGCCTGCCAGTACTTCTCTGCATTGAATATGGAAGTTGACTAGACAGAGAGGCCACCAAAACTGAGACATTTAAAGTGAGGTGAACATTTCTACAAAATCACATGCCCTTCTACAAACAGTAGTTAGTCCTTTTAGACCTGCTGTCTTAGAGTATCACATATTTTTATGCATAGTTTAACAGCTGTAAAACATATTCCCTTTTTATTTGTAAGGTACATTGACATACTCATCTGTTGCATGGCAACATGTAAGAAACTGCTTTTCATGACAACTGCTTTTTATGATTTCTGAGTAGGAGTGCTGGCTTCTGTATTTTCCAGTTGAAACTTGAGATGATATCCTTATTTATAGACAGTAAAGGAAAAAGAGCTGAGGAAACTTTAGAGTAATACTCAAAACTCTTATACTGAGTTGTACAGGTGGTTTAGTTATTAATGCATTAACATTTATTAATGTATTATTTATTGTTTTACCATCTTTATAGATTCATAAATATCTGCTTTCTTGCACACAAGGGGAGAGATAAGCTATGTCAACCTACTGCATCCTTTATGCTTCCAGTTTATGTGATCTGGTGAGAGGCCATAGCAGTGGAACTGTGGAAGGAAGTGTCAGATACAGGCTTTCTCTAAGGGAAAGAGGCTGTGGCAGGTTGCTGTCTGGAGCAATCTCATTTGAGATAATGGTTCTAGGGGCTACAGAGATGACTCCCTGGATGACGTGTGTGGGAATGCTTATCAGAATGCAGTTTTTTAAATATTTCATATTGTTTATGAAGGTCTCAAATACAAAGAGAAAGATGGCAAGGAAATAAGGCAGCACAAAGAGACACTAATGGAATATTTTATGAAGATTATTCACCCTTGAATAAGCAGTTGTTATAAAGTGATAATTTATCACAGTGAATGTTCTTCCTTTCAGACAAGGAGTATTGCAAAGTGATATTTCCGTATGAAGCACAGAACGATGATGAACTCACAATCCGGGAAGGTGATGTTGTCACACTTATCAGTAAGGTAAAAGCAATATTTTTCTCCTATAAGCAGTGATACAGTTTTTAAAACTGACATAATTTAATTGCCATAAAATTAGTATTTATGCCTTTGACAGTGTTGTTGCTAAACCAATGCTAGTTTGACAGTGAAACATTATGCAGACTTCAGAGCCCTACAAATCCCTTCCTCCTGTGCTTTAGAGCCTTACCCTGATAATGAATGTAAAGCAAAGAACAACCAATGTGTACTCTTGAGCCCACAAATTTATAGAATTAATATTAATTTTAATCTGATGGCAGAACAATATAAATTGTTAAATTGATCCCTGTAACAAGCATAATGGCTTAGAGAATAAATTGGAAGATTCTAGAAAGCAGCAGCTTTGAATATTAGTTTTATAATATACTTGCAGCTTTCACACGTGAGGCTTTTTTTCTTGTAGGAATTGTGAATTAGATTTTTGTTTTAGACTGAGGTAATTTGCCTAAATTAATGTACTGAACTAAACATTTAAAATTTAGCCAGTCTTAACATTCTGGTAAAGCAGAGAAATATGACAGAAAATTAATAGTTTTAGATCTGTGGTTTTTTCTAAAATTATATGAAATTATTCAAGATTATACATGAAAAAAACAGAGCCAGGATTTATACTAAATCTTCAAAAACCATAGAGTGAGATAGTGAGCAAACAGTTGGTTTGCCTTTAGAAGAGATGTGCACCATGTTACGAAGAACAGATTATAGTTTAGGTGCACTTTATTTCCTGCTCCTGTTTAAAGACTTTATGGTTTGTTTAAAAGTTTTTGATTGCTGGACATAAATATTTGTGGGGGAAAAAAATCTATAAACTAGAAAAGGCCTTTCCATGAGGAAGATGAATCATAACAGTGTACACAATACTGCTGCTTTTTTTTGTGCTTATATGAAAGTAAAATAATTAGTACTGTAACTGAGGTGTTATAAGAAATTGTTACTTGACTGAACAATTTGGCACTGTGAAAAAAACCCCAAAATCTTGGGAAGTACATCTGGGTCAGTGTTTGCCACATACTAAGCAATTTTCAATCCTAGAGGACATCTTTGTCCTGAACAATATGCATGTAACCAAGGAAAAGTAATCAGACATTTGGTCGGACGAGAAATTGCAAATGTAAAAATAAATTGTGTACATTAAATATCCTTTAATTACTTGTCCTCGCTGACTTTTGTTTAGCTAGTTTGTAGAGCTGTGTAGCTCTGCCTGATTCAGAATTTTCTCATGTGAGTGTTTAACAGTGTTTCTGATCATGAAAATGGCTTTCTAGATGTTGCTCCTGTCCACTTTATGCTTTATTGACCAGAATGATTTAATTTCCCAAGATGTCTGGTCTCTGGGTGGAGCTGTGTTCATCAGCAAACATAGATAAAAAGACAATTACATTCCTGAGGTTTCGATGTGAGCTTTCATTTGCTTGCTTTTTCCCATTTTCTTCTTCCCTCTGCCTCTGCCCTCACAGTGGAAGGATATTTGTCTTTCATAATAACTAAGCTGATGATTTGACCATATTGATCAGTATTCCAAATCACGCAGAGAGAATGGTTTGGAATAGTAAATATGCTATTCTCTAGCCATGTCCTTCTACTCTCGGTGATATCAAGCCACTGCAGACATTTTATTTTTCTTCTTTTTTTCTGTGTCGTGTCACGTCTATGAACACTTATATAAACCCATGCCTCTAGAGAGTGGGGGGGTCTCAATGCACAAAAGCCTGGAGTTTCTCTGTGGATGCCTTTTTATGGGATGTCTGAACTGATCTGAGCCACTGAAGAAATAATGCTTAACAAGCAGTCACTTTGCAGATCCTTTTGTGCTTTGCAGGCCTCAGACTTGTGGGGTTTCTTCATATGTTTTTAACACAGTTAAAAAAATAAAATTCAGGCTATGTGGAATCAGGGTCTTTGCTGTAGAGTTCTGAAAATAGTGAGGTCTCCTTTATTCTCTACCACATAATACAGTAACTTTATTTTAGTCTAGATCTTCTGAAGCAGATGTCTGTTGTCATCTTTCTTTTAGTCAGCATTAACAAAATCAGCCTCACCTTTCTGCCCACCAATGGCTTCTGCTAGAGAGTTAGCCAGAGTTCAAATCACCATGCTTACATGACCAGTTAGTGAGCCATGCTGACTAACAGGCATCAAAGAGAAACATATGGAATGAATCAGAAATTATTGCCATGGCTTTGCTATCAGATCACAGAGTTTCTTTTAATTTATTTGTAATGAATTGTTTTGCAGCTTTTGCTTTCTATGCTGGAAAGCATTAGATAGCATTTATTCTTCCCAACTATCTAGACTCAAAGAGAGAAGACTGTTACTTTTAAGGAAACAGATGGGTGTCACAGTACTTCCTACAACCACAGATGCATTATCGTAAAACAATGTATTTTGTTGAAATCACTAAAACCAAAAAATGATATAGATTCCTAGCATAAAAAGTCTGTTACTAGGCTAGTCTGTTTTTCCACAGTTAGATCCATTAGAGTGTTGAAGACTTGTAGTTTTAACTCATGCTGAATTTGTTTTTAATTGAAAACTACAGCATTGGTGAGAATGTGTGGGAGTGGCTGAAGTAAAGAGTGAGTGACAGAAGAATGGGAGAGAAATCTCATGAAAAGAATGTAAAATGCATTACAATAATCTTAAAAGCATGAAGATGAGTAGCACTTGATAGGTGCTAAGACAAAAGGGGATGGATCAAATGAGCTAAATGGGGAGTTCCTACAAGAGCCTGTGTACAGGTGCACACACATGTGACAATGGGTATGTGAGGAAGCTGTTAGTCTAATATTCATCTTAAAATGCTAAGACCTAATTTTGTGGAAAGATGTGGAATCAGTAAATGCAGAATTCAATAGCACCATTTTAACAATATCCACAAATAAAAAGGATAAGAGTATAGCAGATTTCTCTCTTTTATTCAGCTGAATTAGTTATGAAAGTCCCTTTGTCAAGATCATAAAATCAAGATCAAAATATCACTCAAATATAAAGAGCAAACCATTATTAAATTTTTTATTTATTTATTTATTTTTCTGTCATGGTCTTTACAGACTCTGTTTCAAGTTCTCGCTGTTTTGATGGATGTTGAGATCTTGAATCACAAGCTGGTCAGAACTTCCCAATAGGTCTCTGTGATAAGAGAATTTGAATACCTGAGTTTCTTTGAAATAGCTAAAGAATACTTTGAAAAGATTTGCTGAATCACAAGTAACCTCCCTAATCACATGGAGAATGTGCTGGAAAGATTTATTTAAGCGCTGAAGAAAGTCAGTAGAGGCTGATCACTTACGGGTCAGAATGGCATGTTTTTGGGAAGATATAGGGTGAAGGATGGCATTATGCAAAACTGATAACCAAAAATAATTGCCTATTATTTGGAAAATATACGTGATGAAATAGAGTCCCAACATATCTTAGTTAAAATGTACCTAAAAGACTGAAAAAAAGCAGAAACTTCACATGCATCTATTCCAAAAATTTCTGGAAAAGTTTTTCTTTCCTTCTTTGTCCCAGTAAAGCAAATACCCTTTTAAATACCTAAAAAAGGTTTTATTTATTAATAAGTGGATATAAAAGTGGGTAAATGGTAGTCTTCTATTTTCTTCATGCAGAATAATGTAAAAGCTCTGAAAATATTGGTCAGAATTGTAACTAAAGGTAAAAACTTCATCTTCAAGGCAATGAACTAATAGACCTGGTACCTTTGCTTGGCAAAAAAGGAGTCTAAGAAAAATACGCCTTTGAAAGTAAGAGAATAAAAAGAAAAAGACAGTAATTTTACTTGTACAGTTAAGGTGATATCTGTGCATTTTGATGATTAGATATGTTCATGAGGTTAAAATTATGAATGGTAAGAGGCCATGGGATTGACACTGTAGATTATTTTTGCATTGTCAGACATTTGTGTTCCTTAAGTAATTTTTTTTAGTGTCTTCAAAGTATTCCTGACAGCATTTGGGTATGGGCAAGAACACTGGTAATGACTGCAATCTGCAGCTGAAGGAGGGTGGAAAACAGGTCTTTTATCATGCTCATATATTAATTTTGAAGATTGTATTTGTAATAAATAGAGTTTCTTCTAAGCAGCAAAAGATTCATGTGACATTTTCAACTGTCATTATGAAAATTTTACTGGACTTTTAATTCCAGCCCTCTTAGACATAGCTATTGTAAGCCACTTTTCTACAAATTTATTAATAGCTTTGATAAATTATGACAAAATGCATAGGATTCTTACAACTTCACTGAAAATGACCTGTGTGAGGAATCAGTAGAAATAGCTACATAATTTCAAAGTAAATACATCAAGCACACTGGCAGCTGTGCTCTAATTCAAAAGCAGTTTTACATGCAAGGATGTAAAGAAGATTTCATTGCAGTGCATCAATCTACCTGAGCTCTAGGCAGTAAAGACCACCTTGTTCCCAGGAGAGAAAATGGTCTAGATAAATAAAATCAGCTGCTTCAAAAATCGTTGCAAAAGCAAGATATCTTCACCTGAACCCTTATTTTCAATGGATGGTACTGATATCAGTGCCAATTCTGCTAATTCTGAATTTTTAAGGTGATTTGCTGATGCTATTCAAATAGTTACTGCATTGGTATTATGAAAGACACAACAGGATAATTACTAGTGAAAAACTTACATGACCATTTATCTGGTCTAGATATTTAATGACAACCCAATTTGTAGAGCTTAATTCTGTGCTGGGGGGCAAAGAGCCACAAACCTCGTTTTAAAAATAAGCATATGGCAATCACGTTTTACAAAGCTTGTATTTGCTTTTGGTGTTATTGTTAATAATTTATTGTGAGATTTGCAAGTTTTGTGGTTCAAAACGCTGTACATTTAGCGACTTCCTGCCCTGAAGCATATGCAGTCGAGTGATAAGACAGACAAGTACAGGTGAGTAGAAGAGTATAACGAAACAATTCAATGAGATTCAGTTTTGATAGTCTCTTTGACCTTTTCTCACTGTTGG